TTTGATACGCACTGACCTGCCTACACATTCCAACATCCCTCACTGGGTATAGAACTACCAGGTGACTAAAATGGGGAGACAAAAAAACAACACCCAAAGGAAAGAAAAGGAGGAATCACCAGAAAAGGAACTACATAAAATGGAAGAAAGCAATTTGTCAGATAAAGAATTCAAAGCAATGATTTTAAGGATGCTCAAACAACTCAGTAAGGACTATAAGCAACTTAACAAGAATTATAGAGATCTCAGTGGGAACTACATCAGTTTAAAAAAGAGGTAGAAGCTATGAATAAAACTCAAGAGGACATAAAGAATGACATAGCTAATATGAAAAATACCTTAGAAGGACTCAATAGTAGATTAGAAGAACCTGAAGACTGAATCAGTGAGTTAGAAGACAAGTTAGAAAAAAACGCCCAAATAGAGCAGCAAATGGGGAAATAAATTTAAAAGCAGGAGGAGAGTTTAAGGAATCTTTGGGACAATACAAAACGTAACAACATTCACATCATATGGGTACCAAAATGAGAAGAATCAGAGAAAGGAATAGAGAAACTGTTTGAAGAAATAATGACAGAAAACTTCCCTAAACTGGTGAAGGAAAAAGTCATACTAGTCCAGGAAACACAGAGAGTCCCATGCAAAATGAAGCCAAAAAGACTCACAGTTACACATATCATAATTAAAATAGCAATCATTAAAGACAAAGAAAGAATCTCAAAGGAAGCAAGAGAAAGACAGAAATTCTCTACAGGGGAGCTCCATTAGACTGTCAGCTGATTTCTCAATAGAAACACTGCAAGCCAGAAGAAAGAGGCATGGAGTATACAAAGTAATGCAAGGCAAGGGTCTGAATCCAAGACTACTCTATCCAGCAAGGCTATCATTAAAAGGTGATATATATATTTCACCTTTATTTGAAGGTGAAATAAAGAGCTTCGCAGACAAAAAAAAAAGCTAAAGGAATTTACCACCACCAAACCAGCACTGCAAGAAATGCTACAGGGACTGCTGCAAGAAGAAGAAGAAATAGAGAAAGAGAGAGAAGAACACAGACATAAAATAAATATGGCAACTAATAAGTATCTAGCAATAAGAACCTTAAATGTAAATGGCTTAAATGCTCCAATCAAAAGACACAGGGTAGCTGATTAGATAAGAAAACATGACCCATATATATGCTGTCTATAAGAGGCCCATCTCAAAACAAAAGACTTGCATAGAATGAAAGTAAAGAAATGGAAAAAAATTTTCCAGGCAAATGGAAATGAAAAAAAAGCTGGTGTAGCAATACTCATATCTGATATGATAGACTTCAAAATGAGGGCCATAATAAGAGACAAAGAAGGTCACTACATAATATTAAATGGAACAATCCAACAAGAGGATATAACCCTGGTAAACATATATTCACCAATACAGGAGCACCAAAATATATTTTAAAACTTCTGAAGGACTTCAAAGGAGAGATCAATAGCAATACAATCTCAGTGGGTAACTTTAACACCCCACTGACACCACTGGATAGACCTTTTAGACAAAAAATAAACAAGGACACAAAGTCCTTAAATGATGGACTGGATCAGTTGGACTTAATAGATATTTACAGAACACTTCACACCAAAGCTGCAGAATATACATTCTTCTTAAGTGCATATGGAACATTCTCAAAGATAGACCACATGTTAGGACACAACCTAGGTCTCTACAAATTCAAGAAGATTGAAATCATATCAAGCATCTTCTCAGATCACAATGGCATTAAACTAGAAATCAATTACAACAAAAACATTCAAACATATAGAGGCTAATAGCATATTATTAAACAATAAATGGGTTACAAGGAGATCAAGGAAGAAATTAAAACTTCCTGGAAACCAATGAAAATGAACACACAACAACACAAAATCGATGGGATACAGTGAAAGCAGTCCTGAGAGGGAAGTTGATAGCACGACAGGCCTACCTCAAGAAACAAGAACAATTCCTAGTTGACTTCCTAACCCTCCAATGTCTAGTTCTTCTAAAGAACTAGAAAGTAAACAAAAAGAAAAACTCTTAGCAAGCAGAAGGAAAGAAATAGTAAAGGTCAGAGCAGAAATAAACGACATAGAAACTAAAAATACAATTCAAAAGATCAATGAAACAAAGAGCTAGTTCTTTGAAAAGATAAACAAGATTAATGGACCCCTAGCCAGACTCACCAAAAAAGAGAGTACCCAAAGTTTGCATGGAAAAAAAAAGACCCCAAATAACAACAGCAATCCTGAAAAAGAACAACAAAGTAGGAGGGATCACAATACCGAATATCAGGTTATAGTACAAAGCCATAGTAATCAAAAGAGACTGGCACTGGCATAAGACCAGGCATATAGATAAATGGAACAGAACACATAACTCAGAAATTGACCCAAGTCTTTATGCTCAATTAATATTTGAAAAACGTGGCAAAAGCATACAGTAGAGTAAAAGCTTCTTTAATAAATGGTGTTGGGAAAATTGGACAGCTACATGCAAAAAAATGAAACTAGACCACCAACTTACACCATACACACAAATAAACTCAAAATGGATAAAAAACTTAAATGTGACTCGTGAATCCATAAAAATTCTAGAAGAAAATGTAGGCAACAAAATTTCAGACATTACAGGCAGCAGAATTTTCACTGATACAATGCCTAAGCCAAGAGAAACAAAGGGAAAAATGAACAATGGGACTACATCAAACCAAAAAGCTTCTGCACAGCAAAAGAAATAAGCATCAAAATGGAAAGGGAACCCACTGTATGGGAGAGCATAATTGCCAACAATACATCAGATAAGAGGTGAATTTCTAAAATATATAGAGTACTCATACAGTTCAACAAAAGAAAGACAAAGAACCCAATTTAAAAATGGGCAGAGGACCTGAATAGACACCTCTCCAAACAGGACATACAAATGGCCAAAAGACATATGAAAAAATGCTCATCGTCTCAAATCATCAGAGAGGTGAAAATTAAACCAATGATGAGGTATCACCTCACACCTGCCAGAATGGCTGCCATCAACAAATCATCAAACAACAAGTGCTGGCGGGGGTGTGGAGAAAAGGGGACTTTAGTACACTGTTGGTGGGGATGCAGACTGTTGCAGCCACTATGGAAAACATTATGGTGTTTCCTCAAAAAATTAAAAATGGAACTGTCATTTGACCCAGTGATCCCACATCTAGGAATATATCCTGTTGTCCATTTGATTTTTCACATTGACCTTGTATCCTGTGACCCCCCTGTTCAACTCATGTATTAATTGTTTTATTGTTTTTCTTATAAATTTCTTAGGATTTTCTATACACACAATCATGTCATCTCTAAAAAAAGAGTGTTATACTTCTTCCACTTCAGCACGTATGCCATTTATTAATATTTCTTACCTTATTGCACTGGTTAGGACCTCCAGCATAATGCTGACTATCCTTGCCTTCTCCAGAAAGCATTTAGTTTTTGACTATTAAATATAAGTTAGTTGTAGGTTTTTCACAGAGGCATCTTATCAGGTTGAAGAAATTTAAAGTCTAAATGTTCAAAAATATTCCTGGCAATATATTATAGTCTTTGTCCGTTAATTTCATTATCTATCATTTTGTGGTCTATTTCTATTAATCAATTTTCTTACTTCTTTGTATATCTAGCAATTTTCCATTGAATGCTTAACATTATGAATGCTATGTTGATGAATGTCTGGATTTTATAGTCTTCCTTCACTCAAGGTTAAGTTTGTTCAGCTAAACAATTAATTTTGCATGAGAAAAAACTCATACAAAAGTTATTTCATATGAGAAAACTTGTAAATAATGGTAAATAAAAAAATCCTTGTTTATTCAAGGCTTATGTTTAACTGTGTAATGGTGGGTGTCGAGTAGCTTTTATTCTGAATACCAGGCGTGTTTAGTGAAGGCTCCTAACCTTGTGGGAGTCCTGGTTGTTGTTCAGCTCCTAGCTATCCCTGGTAGTTGTTCTTTTCCCAGTGTTTGTGAGTCTTGTCCAGCATTTGTGAGTTTTTACTGTAGTAGGACTAATCTGGTACCAATTACTGGTTGATAGCCAGAGGTATAAATCCATAAAGGGAGGTTTTGACCATCCTTCGACTTTACTTTAGGTCTCTTCTCTTTTGGCCCATGAACTCTGCTTATTTTCTCCTACAATTTTCTTTCAAGAACTTATCATTATTTAGTGAAAGGACCCAAACAAGAAAACAGTTATTGCAATTCAATCCAATGTTCTTTCTACTACACAGTATTTTTTATCTCCTGAGCTTAAAACAGTAACAATTTAATATAGGTTTAAGTTGATTATTACTTGGTATATTCCTTAATTTCTCTATCTCCTTTCCTTCCTCCTCCCCCTCCCCCTCACTTCCTCTCCCTCCATTCCCACCACCCCACCTTGACTTGCTTTTATTTTATTTTCAAGAGCTTTGGAATAGGTTCACTGATAAATCTAAAAACAGTTCATGTCTAGAAAATCTATTTGATTAAAAACTATCCCTGACCAAGCATTATGACCATACAAATTAGATAATCCATGAAGTGTTTTCAAGAAAGGCAAAGAAACTAACTTACTTCCATATTTTTGAGTGCCTTAATCATACCTGAGATTCACAGCTTGTTCTTTCCCTTGTGGGCTATTTTAGCTTCTTGGTAGAGTGGGGTTACCTGTACATATTTTTCTTCTAATTTAAGAGCCTTTATGTTGATGAAATCTGCTGCTAGAATATAATGTTCATCACTCTCTGTCCACAAAATATCTATTAATTCATGTTTATAAAGTATTAGTCACTTTAAAAATAAATTTTGCATGGTTTTATTACCTTTTAAGGAGAGGAGAGATAAGTGCAGGAGGAACAGAAACAAAACTGGTTTATAAAATGGGACTTTAAAAAAGTAGTTTTAAGTTGCACTGAGGTAAAATGAAATGATTAAACCAGATCATAAGAGATTGTGGGTCTTTCCATCTTACCTGTGAAGCTGGATATATTCTCGAGGTCTATTGAGCAGGTGAAGAAATCTGTCAACAATCTTGTTTTTTCCTACACCCTGTAATTACACAGAAAGCATTAAACAAAATTATTTCTCTTTTTATTCCTTTTTGCTCAATGCCCCCACCCCGACAATTGTCAGCCTGCTCTCTATCTGTGAATCTGTCTCTATTTTGTTAGTTCATTTTGTTCATTAGATTCCATACATGAGTACTTGTCTTTCTCTGACCAGCTTATTTCACTTAAAAAAAAAATAAAGTTTTTGCCTGGAGGTAAAACAAACCAAAAGAATTTTTTTTTTTTTAACCAAAACCTATTTCCTCAAAGTTGTACTGTTTTTGCTATTGTTAATCAAAACCAAACTAGCAAACACATATAACACAACTTCTATGATACAGGGTTTTAAATTTTTTATTTCTAAATACACTAGTTCTAAACTCTTCTCATTTAAAAAACAAATTAAAACATATTGTTTTTTCCTTTCCTATAATTTTACATTGAAGTGTCAACATTACAGCAGAATATTAACTATTTCAGATTTGAAGAATAGCATCAAAGGTGATCAAGTAAGTGTAAGAACCATGATTTCTTCTAATCAGTTCTTCAGGAGTATGGTTTTCAGTTGCAGGAAGAGGTAAACACTATATTTACTCACTCACTTCTTCTCCTTTTGTTCCACTTTCTAATTCTTTAAAACCTTGGAAACCTAAAAGTATAACCAGGGTCTACTACTAAGTCTCAACTGTATGTGTTTTTCCTACAAATGTCCTAATTTCCTAATCAATTACTAATGGCGGAAGTTGCTGCCCTTTTGTGGAAGACAGACTATTAAAAATGGAAATCCATGCAATTTCCCCATTTTAAGGGAAAAGGGGGTCAAATATATGGTGACAGAAGATTTGACTTTGGATGGTGGGCACACAATGCAATACACAGATCATGTATCATAGAAATGTACATTTGAAACCTAAATAATCTTATTAACCAATGTCGGCCCAATAAATTTAATTTAAAAACATTAAAAAAAATAAAATAAATAAATATCATGGTTAAACAGCTAATCCTCATGAAGCCAGATTCGAATCCAGGCCTGTCTCATCCTGGTGTTCATGCTTCTATCCCAACATTCTGGATTATATTTCTTTCAATTTGTAATTGGTTTAGGTAACTTGGACCTTGAATTATCTTTTTCCCCAACCCTAGAATCCATCCTATAAAAGTAAGAGGAAAGTATCGTAGCAAAAACAGAAACCCACTAAAGGGAAGCAGGTATTATTATTGGCATTTCTACTACATATCTTGTGAAGAGAAGGATTCTACAAGCACCAAAGACTGAATGGGTATTGATTGAGCATCATCTTTGTCCTAACACTGTGACAGTTCCTGTAAGATACATTTTCAAAGGGCATATGAGAATGTGTCCATCACAGTTCTCAAGGGAGGCAAGATATATATATATATTCGGAGCACAGAGGACAAGCACCAGTGTAAACAAGCAACTGTAACTTAGATGTAGGTTCTAATAGCTTTAGAATCTCTTTCTTCTCTTTGGTCAATTAAATATGCCACAAGATGATAGACACAGTGAGATTAAGGGGACTAGAATAATTACCAACTACTTAATAAATAAGACAGAGATAGGGAGCATGCACAGACAGTAACAGGCAATTAAGATATGTTGTACATCCTTGATCTGGGACAGCCACAATGAAATCAATGTTTAAAGAAGGTTAACATGGCAACAACATGCAAAATATACTGATAAGACGAGAGACTGTTATCCAGGAGAGTGATCACTTATTCATTCAACATATAAACAAATATTTTTTGAGTGCTGGCATGTATCAGCAGGGATAAGAGTGAACAAAAAGATAAGGTTTCTGCTCTTCTGGAGCTTCTATTCCAGAAGTGTGGAGACAGACTGACAGGTAACTGAGAAAAAGTAGGTAGAAAGGTAGCAAGATATAATTAGACAAATAAATAAGTAAACTATCAAATAGTGATCAGCTCTCTACAAACAATTAAGATAGGGAGAGGTGATACTAAATAGGTGGTGATTTAAGATGATTCAGAAGTGAAGACCTTGCCTTTGCTAACTTTTTGGCTAAGATCTGAATGACAAGGAGACAGCGCTATGGAGATTACAAAAGGGGACATTCCAAGAGAAGAGTTGCCATAGCTGGTGAGAAACAAAGCTAGAAGAGTAGGCAGAATCCAGCTCCAGCAAAGTCTTGGAAACCACTTAAAAGAGTTTGAACTGTTTCCTAAAGGAACTAAGAAGCCATTGAGGTAGAGAAGTAATGGGCTCAGCTTTTCATTTTGAAAAATCACTCTGGTAGAATGGTCTGGCAGAGAGCAAGAAGGAAAGCAGTTTGGAAACTCCTTAAAAAATTCAGGCAGGAGATAGTGGTGGTTTAACAAAGGAGCAGAGATAAATAGATGGATTTAAGAGACCTTTGGGGAAAAGAGTAGCAGGGCTTGGTGATGGGTTGGATGTGGGGATGAGGAGATGGAGAAGTCAAAGTTTCGGTCTTAGACAACAGGGTGGAAGGTGGTACCATTTACTGGCATATGAAACAGGGGAGGAGAAGTGAATTTGCTGGTGGAAGAGGGAACTCTAGTTTTATTTTTTTAAAGGCAGTTTAATTTTGGATGTTTACTTTGCAGTACGTGCTTCCCATATCTGCTCCTTCCTCTCCAATTCACGTCATGACTCAAGGATAGCCCATTATCTTGCTCAGACTCCTAGAAAGGGTCCTGTTTGGTCTTCTGCCTCCAGACTCATGACAAGCCAGCCCACAATTTGTTATTTTTCTAAAACAGGTCGTTTCCACCTTAACTTTTAAAGCTCTTATAGTTCCTTGGAGGAAATGCCAAAAGCATAACCTAGGAAGAAATTTCTGTAAATATACTGAGCAAAATGAAACAGTTATAGCAATCTGCTCTCTTTCCCATCATAGTTTTTACCTAAAACAAAAATTCTACGGATTACCTTACTGAATAAATAGTATCTTATCTTTCCATTATAAAAGCTACATATACTCATTTTTCTCACTGGGAAATTTAGAAAACGAAGCACTTCCCAATATGCAACAGCTAAGACAAATCTGCTATCGTATGTATTTTGTTGCTGTGCATATTTATCTATACTTACTAGTCATTATTCTGTATATACAATCTGTATCCTTTAATAAAAATTAGCATGAAATAGTTTTACATCATTATTTACTCTTACTAAAGACATTTAGTGAGTAAACATTTTAAAAGATTTTTGTATGTTTTTATTGATTTATTAGAGAAAGGAAAGGAGAGAAAGAAACATCAATTTGAGAGAGAAACATCGATCAGATACCTCCTGCACCCCTACTGGGGATTGAGCCCAAAACCTAGGCATGTGCCCTGACCAGGAATCCAACTGGGACCTTTCAATCCATAGGACCATCATACTCAATCCACTGAGCCACACCAGCCGGCTAGTGAGTGAACATTTTAAAGGGAAAAGGAACCTGTATAATCAGAGATCTTAAAATTAAGCTAGAAATTGTCTCATCACAATGGCACTTATCAATTACTGTTCTGTCCCATTGTGTTCCCCAGGACAACGTATGGGAAAGGAGGACCGTCACAGAGGTGGGAGTCACATGGCCCTTTACTACAGGGTTAGGAGAAACAGGGAATATGGTCGGCCCCACAGACAGGAATCGCACTGAGGACAGGAAGTAAACACGCCTCAGCTTCTATGAAAGATCAGGAACCGTGACTTGAAGAACTTTGAAGACTGGAACTCTTACCACTTCCTCAGGCTTACTATTTTAGTTATCCTGTTTCCTCAGAGAGATTAGCAGTAAAATCCTTTAGACAAAAAGGGCTTGTGGGTTTGTCTTCCTGGGCAAGAGGAAAATACAGACCTTGGAAAACTCCATCCACATCCTGTCAAGGGGGAGAAGGTGCAAGGAGTGGAGTAAAAGAAAAGGGCTAAAGAGGAGTGGAAAGCAGCGAAGAGTACATGAGTCTAGGAATGGAATTTTAAGTTCTGGGACTTAAGCCCTGGGACTTAACAGTTGAAAGATCCCCATCAAAGCAGACAAACTTGCAAGCTTGCTATGTTGGCTCATTGCAAGTCTCACTCAAACATGTTCCTAATCAGCCAGCTGTCCAGACCTATGTACTTCTACGTCTTTGCTCACATTGTCTGTTCTGACAAGAAGAGCCCATCCTTGCCCATGTATCTGTCATCTTCCTCTCACCCCTTAGTGTTCTAATGAAATGCCCCTGCTTCTCGGAAACTTTCCCTGACTCGTGCTTTGTCTTCTCTCCTTCAAATCTGAGGACGAGAATGGTTCCCCCTTTGGGTTTCTAAACCACTGTCTCTTAGAGCACTCACCACACTGTACTCCAGCAATGTGTCAAGTGCCTCAGCAAGAAGACACACTCCTTGAGGCCAGGACTGTCCCCCTGTTCATGTTCCTATCACTGGTGACTCAAATACAACCTGCAGGTAATAACTATTAAAATGTGAAAAAGGAGGGAAGAAAAGGAAGGAGAAGTCATGTAATTTGCTCTTATTACAGGAGGTAGAAACCTCTTCCAGGACAGTTCTGTTTCCTTTTATTAAACAAAATGGAAAGTGACATTTATGGAGCCCTTTGCTGTCTGAACACATTCTTTCAGTACTTCATTACTTGGATCCTCTTGCCAGTCATGTGGGTGGGAGGTAATGGTATCTATTTTGGAGAGAAGTAAACTTAAGTTCTAAGCTGTTAAAAACCCTACACCCAATGGGATTTTGAAGACAATTCCATTCTGACTCAACAGACTGGGCTATTTTCCATTTCACCATATTGCAGAACAGAATGTCAGGAGGTAGCCGCACTGAGCTAATTTGTAGGAGAGTTTATGTACTGATGTCACAGAGTCAAAGATCAGTCACTGCAAGGTTGTAAAATAACCTAATTCATGCACCTGGAACTCCCTGCATGGTGCCTAAGGTTCAGGGAGGAAGTCAGGCAGATCTCTTCTGGGGAAGTAATATTTTAAAGGGACTCCAAGTGAGGGTTT